GGCTTCTTTCTCGCTGGCAGGGGGAGGGGGAGCCGGCAGGTAAGCCCTGCACGTTGACTTAAGGACGGGTGGGGGGTGGGGGTCTTGGGAGGGGAGCTGTGGTCAGGGGGCCGAGGGAGAAGGTTGCTTTCCTCTGTTTTAGAGACTGGCGCTGCTTATGGGGGATGCAGGAGAGGCCTAGCCGGAAGGAGGATGACCCTCAGGCGTGGTCAGTGGATGAAGCTTGTTTTCTGGGCTCCTCTGCAGCCGCTTTTGAGATTGGGGTCCCGGGGCTTTCTACAGGAAGGTTTCAGCCAAAGGGGAGGCATAGTGGGAGTCTTGATCTGTTGTGGTGCTTACCGGCTGCATCTGCTTGTTTCTTCCTTTACCTGTCTGGTGCTTTTGATGGCTGTTGCATTCTTACTACCACGAGTCTTCTGTAGACTCGTAGGAACAAGGTGACGGTTTCCAAGAGGGGCCAGACTTTGCATCAAGTCATAGCGACTTCACTTTTCACTCAATTGTGACAGGTGCTTAGGGAAAACCTTCTTGTATGATTGGCAAATAGAGTCTTAATTTATATGGAAGAAATAGGCAGGGGTGGGGGGAGCTGCTAACAGATTTGCAGTATGTATTAATTTTCTAAACTGCCTGTTTTTACAAATAGTACTAGAATCAAGTTGCAAAAAAACCTATCCCACACAACACAAACATTTAAACTTCAGTCACAGGCAGTAAGTGAAAACCTGGGCTCTCATGTGTATTTACTCAGCTGTAAGTCCCATTGAAAACAGCAGGGTTTACTTCTAGTGTACGTACATGAGGAAGGGGAGAAGACTGTAAGCCACTCTGAGACTCCGACCGAAGGGCGGGGTATAAATCCAACTCTTCTTCTTCTTATGCTGCGTCTTGAACCAAGCACCTTCCTTAGCTGTGTTTGCAGTGTTGTATCCAGCACAGGCCTGCCTCAGAGGGATGTTGTAGGGATCACTGAGACTGTACTGCCAAACGCTTTGAATTATCTTGCTTTCTGTAGCTGCTTAGTGATGTTGTTACTGCCTGGAGCCCTCTCTTTTGGGATGAGCACCCTCAGGACGGAGCCAGCTGTACATGCCTGTGGTCTTCGTGCCACCAGAAATTGCTGTTTGAGGCAAAACAGTGATGAGAAAAGTAGTGGGAATGGAGGTCCTGACAGGAATACGGAGAGGGCATTGTGAACTTGATTTGTCAAGACAGTGGGAGACCCCCTCAAGATCCCCCCAAACCCTAAATTGCTTGCTCAGTTCTGCCCCCCTCCCCGGCTGCGTCTGGAGGAGCTTCACTTCCAAGTCCACAAGATTGGTTACTTTCTGCTCCATTCAGCTAACCACAATGGTTTGTATGGTTTCTTGGTACCGGTGCCTCTAGGTGAGCCTTTTCTACCCCAGGGGACTTGACATGTGGCCATCCGCAAGCCTGTACGTCACTTGTATTTCTTTTTAATAATTTTTCCTAGGCGGACTTTCTGAAAGGCTTGCCAGTTTACAACAAAAGCAACTTCAGCCGATTCCATGCAGATTCTGTGTGTAAAGCATCAGTGAGTATCTTCGTTTTGGGCTGTAAACTGGTACGGAATTTCACTTGAACACCTAGCTGCCGCCTCCTCCCTATTTTTTTTAAAAAAGGTTATTACTTCACTGCTGCAAGTTTTGTTTGTTTTAGGTGGTCTTTAACTGGTGTCTCGACTGCTGCAAGTTTTGTTTGTTTTAGGTGCTCTGGCTTTTGCCGGGGTCCTGTGCTGTTGAGGTGGTGAGGTGCCCACATGTCTGCAGTCTGATCCCAGGTCACCCCAGTAATTGGGAACTGCATGGGAGGCATTTTTGCATAGCAGTTCTTCAGGAGTAGATTGTGTTTGCTTCTTTGGCAGGAGGGTTTCCACCTTCCTTTTTGTCTCCCCAATAACCTGACACATTTTGTGTGCTGCCTCTTTACTTTAAAACGAAACTTCAATCTCTTCCTTCATGCTTATCGCTTTTCTTCCATTTTACAGAATAGAAGACCGTCAGTGTATCTTCCCACGCGGGAATATCCATCCGAACAAAGTAAGTCTTTTTCCTCCCCTGCTTCCTAGCTTATTTGAGTTGAACCACCAGAAGGTAACTTCCTTTGCATTCAGCAAACAGTGGTTGCCTTTGCTTATACAGTAAAGTAAATGAGTGATGGTAGCTTTGAGGCCACCCCAAATGCCTACGCTAGAGCCGCTTGGCTGGATCAGGCCCAAGATCCCTCCAGAGATCACTCTTGCCCACAGTAGCTGACTGTGTGACTCAGAAAGCTCACAAGGAGGGGCACACCTTTTGCTGCCTCCCACAGACTGGTACCTAGAGGTGTAATGCCTCTGAACATGGAGGTTCTATTTTTCTTTTAAAAATGCAATTATAATCTGCTGTTCTTCCCCGTGTGGACCCAACGTGGCTTATGTCCTCCTTCTCTTCTCCAGTTTATCGTCATAAACACCCTGTGCGGTAGGTTAGGTTGACTGGTCCAGTGTCACCCAACAAGCTTCCATGGCAGACTAGGGGTTCAAACCTGGGTCTCCCACATCTCAGCTTGACACTCTTAACGACTCCACCTCAGTGGCTCTCTGCAAGCTGCTGATGGACCTCTCCTCTTCCATGAATTTTTCTAGTCTCTTTTTAAAGGCCATCTAAATAAGTGGTTGTCATTGTATCCTGTGGTGTTCAGTTCCACAGCTGTTATGCCTGGTGGGAGAAGCACTCCCTCTTGTTTGTCTTGAATCTCCAGCCTGTCAGCTTGATTGGTCCCTGTGAATTCTAGTCTGCTGGAAGAGGGGAACAGGCCTCATGTGTATGGAACTGAATGGTGTGCCCCTTTTGCAAGCTAAAAAGCTTTAAAGTGCCTCCCCTGGACTGTTTGGTCAATTTTGTCTATACCTGAGGGGCCAGCCCTCCGTCCAGAGAGGATTAAAGAAAGCAAGTCCCCAGCCCTGAGGTGAGTGGGCCAGCTAAGCAAAGGGTGGGTGGGGCTCTTTGTTCTGAGAGAGACTCCACAGGGTTCTCCAGCATGTTCAGAACGCAAGATTCTCCAAAATGTTAAGGAAGCAATTGCTAATCCACACCAAAGTAATGCCCAGTGCTTGGTTGCTTGCTTGCAATTGACATGAAGCTGCCTTAAACCGAATCAGACTCTTGGTCCCTCAGGGGTCAGTCTTGCCTATGCAGACTGGCAGCAAGCTCTCCAGGGTCTCAGGCAGAGAAGGGCCTTCCACAGCACCTCCCACCTGATCCTTTTAACTGGAGATGCTGCCAGAGGTTGAACCTGAGATCCTCTGCACCCTCTACGCCTGAGCTGTGGCCTCTTCCTAATCCCTGTGCAGCATAAGACCAGGGCTCACCTCCTCTGCTGCTCTCTGGAAGAAGAGAGGCCCCCCCTTCTACCAGAAAATGGACTGCTAATCCACCTCTGGGCCACCTCCGGCACCCACCAAAGGAACATGGCTCCACCCACCCTGTTCCCCTTCCCCGCCATCTGTCAGAGTGACCGGGGTGGGTGGGGGGTAATTCCTTCCTAGACTCCCCATGATGGCTAGAAGTGCAACTTCTAGCTGCCAAGGCTGATGAAAGGAAAGCATCTTCTTGGTCTAGTTGTGTTGCATGTTGAGTGCAATCAGTAAGCGATCAGGGAGCCATTGGCCCCTTCCCTTGAAGTCTGTGCAGGGGTACAGCAGGCTCCAGCCCATAATAAGCAGAGAGCAGCTGAGGGCTGGGTGGCTTCTCTCAGCAAAGCACTTTCAGGCCGTAAAGAGCTGACAGGCCTTGGAGCCACGTAGACCAGTGGTATATGGGGTGGGACTGGTCAGCGGACTGCCTGTACCTAGGAGGATTCAAGGATGTGTGTGTGCTGGGGTGTGGGGCGTGAACAGCTGCTGATTCCCACCTTGGGGAGTGCAAGGAATCCAGAATCCTGGTGCCTGAGCATCCTCCCCCCTCCTGCTTGGACAGGGCTCCCTCTGAAGGTATTTGACTTGAGAGTTGCCAACTGGCTGCAGATGAGAGGGTGCCCCCTCTGTAGCCTCCCAACTGTGCGGCAGAGTTGGCATGTTTCTTCTCAGTTAAGACCCCTGTGGGCACTGCAGTGAGATGTTTATCTGGACATGAAATTCCATGGCACGTGCTCTAGGAAGCTGCCTTATGGTGCCGCCAGACCCTTGGCGCCAGCTTGCTCAGCCTCACCTCTTCTGGCTGGCAGTGGCTCTCCAGGGTCTCGGGCACAGAGGAGGAGCATTTGTAGCCCAAGACCCTTTAACTGGAGGACCCAGGGCCTGGGCTGTGGTTCCAGGGGACTTCTGCATGCAGGAGGTGTCTAGTTCAAAGGTGGGAGGTGACATCAAAGGCCTCCTCCTGAGTCCCTGGAGAGCGGCTGCCAGTCAGACCCTGGGTCCAGCCAGATCCACCCTGGCTCCTGCCCCTCCTCCCTTGATGTGGTAGAAAGCCGCTCGTGTCCACGTGCAGGGTAGGGGCTCTGCACTCCTCCCAGTGCTGAAGTTCCGTGTCCCTGGAGGACATGGCCGTGTGCTTGCAATGTGTTCTGGGAAACCTGGACTGCCTGCAAATGCCATCAGCGGCTTTCTTGTGTAAGTATTCTCACGAGTGCCGTTTCTTTCTTTGGCAGTCATCGTGACAGAAAAAACGAACATACTTTTGCGTTACCTACATCAGCAGTGGGACAAAAAGGTATGGCCACGTGTGTGTTTAGCTATAATCGGTTGTGTATTTAAAAAGGAGTTTGGTGGTGGGGAGATTGCAAGACAGGTTTCCACTCCTGAGCAGCTTAGCTTTCTGGGGACAGTGGAGCTCCTGTGTGCTCTGCCTTGCAGGGCCCTTGACCATTTCAGTTGTGGTGCCTAGAAGTGGAGACGTGAGATTGAGGCTTTGGGGGCGCATCATATAGTTGGAAGGGGCCCCTGATCAATGCAGGATCAGCTTAGAGCATCCCTTACAAGTGTTTGTCCATCCGCTGTTTGAAGGCTGCCAGTGATGGGGGAGCTCACCACCTCCCGGGGCAGCCGATTCCATTGCTGAGCTACTCTTACTGTAAAAAAAGATTTCCTGAGATCCAGCTGGTACCTTTGCACTGGTAATTTAAACCCATTATTGCGAGTCTTACCCTCTGTTGCCAACAGGAACAGCTCCCTGCCCCCCTCCTGTACAGAATCAAAGAATCCTGCTCCCCAGGCCTTATCTGTTTTCATTTCCCAGCAAAATTTAAGGTTTTTTTATGTGCGTGGGTTTTTTTCACAGAACGCAGCGAAAAAAAGAGACCCAGAGCAAGTGGAAATAGAGGGTGAAAATTCTGCCCCGCCTCGCAAAATCGCCCGGACAGACAGCCAAGATATGAATGAGGACACTTAAAGCTCTCGCTCTTCTTCTGCACTGATGCAGGCGCTTCCTGTGTGGGTTTTTTTTTTGGTCTTTCACTGTGTACAAAGAAAAGGCAAATGAAACAATTCCACCTGGCCCTCCCCTTCCCATAGAGCCCCAAACCACTTTTGATTTCTGAAGAGCCAATGTATTTATTTTTGTTTGTGTGTGCAGGAGGCGGGGGGGGGGGAGGTATCTTCTTCCGGTTTTGTAG